ATTAGTGAACTAGAATACTGAGATGAATAAATAAGAGAACTACAGAAAAACAAAATGATCACAATACAAACATGATTTTACATGTACAAAGAATAAAATGAAATGAAATCAAATACATTGGTTTCACTAGCTTACATACAAATAACAAATCACACTAATAACAAATATTTATAAATTTCTGAAACAGAATATCAGATGGGAACCCTTGAATGCAGAAGTGTATTGTGATTAATAGTGACCACCAATAAAAAATACTCAACAGAAATAAAAGTCAAGCTGCATAACACCAAAGAAAAGAAAAAAATGTAAAGGCATGAGAGAGAAAAGAAGAGAGAAACAATGAAGGTGAGAGCAAAGCCTCCACAACCTGCGTTCAGTCAAACACAGAAATAAGTAAGAGTACTGGGAGAAGTTACTGTTCAACCAATAATTAGATACTTCACTAACATATTTTGAATAAGTAAAGATGCACTAAATGATTTCCAAAAGTAAAAAAAAAAATGAGAAATCTTATTACCAATATGAGCTTATTAAGAATACACTTCAAAAAGAAAAATGTTTTAAAATGAAGTTCAATGAATCAAAATGAAATGCAAGAAACTGCAAACATATTAGGCTATGAAATCATGGTGGACAATGAACTAAAGGATCCATCAAGTCTTTGGCAGCATCAGTTTCCAAATGATTTACATAAAATAACAGTGTTAAATGAACTCTATACAATGTAATGAAATAAATTATCAAATCCTCTGATACTTGAATAATTTAACTGATGTTAGAATCTCCTTTTCAGATAATTATTTTCATAGAAAAATATACAATACTTCTGTCTCATGACTTGCAGAATATCAGTTATCCTTTTTTTAGCACCAAAGGGCTAGTGGCATAGGCCCTGGTCACAAGCCTCTGGACACCCAGGACAACTGGATCATATGTTGATCAGGATTGAGCAGGATGAGAGGCGCAAATCCATTCAGTACATGACCGCAAAGAAACTCACCCTTTTTTCTGGAGAGACTCTTGGGGAGAGTCTGGTGCTGTGAAGGTGCTGGGATCGCCTCTGATGCCTGCACAAGAGAGTCTCCATGTATACACTTGAGAGCAGCATAATTCCCACAAAGAAGACATCTCTGGATAATGACAGAGTAAGAAAAATAAGGCTCCTGATGATGGATTTCCTTGGGGAAATGAGGCAGTTTTACTGAGCGTCAGAAAACTGGTCTGAGTCATATGGAAAGAAACCACAGTGTCGAAGATTATGTAACTACTACAGGACAACTGAGGGACCATAAGAAGACAAGAACATGTGACATGTGATTTGTGAGTTTATGTTTAAACCTCACCAACCAGGAGGTGCCGGGGCTGATGGCGATGGCCTGGAGCACGCTCAGGAGGCAGGTGGTGCAGACGGGATAGGCCCCGCATCACCCTGCTCAGATAGGAAAGCATCTTACACTTGAAGTCATTTTGAAAATGAAGGAACTCAAAAAGGTCTGGAGACACCAAGAACACAATAGTGAGCAGCATCATGATGTGGACGAGGCCAAGTGACTGGTGGTGAGGTCAGTGGGCTTAGGATCCAGAAGGAGGATCATGATACCAGAGAAAAGGAGGATGTTGGCCGAGACTCCAGTAACAGCTTGGGCAAAGAAGTCACTTTTGAATGATAACATAAGTGAAAACTGTGTACATTTTAATGGCAAAGAGGAAATATTTTATGTACCTGAAAAAATCAATAAAACTTCCATCATCAATGTCACTTCAGATTCAAAACTATCACCATCATTATCATTTTAAATCCATCTATTTATTTTGATTAATGTTGATTATCACATATAATTTTTTTTTTTTTTTTTTTTTTTTTTTTTTTTTGAGACGGAGTCTGGCTCTGTCACCCAGGCTGGAGTGCAGTGGCGCGATCTCGGCTCACTGCAAGCTCCGCCTCCCGGGTTTACGCCATTCTCCTGCCTCAGCCTCCCGAGTAGCTGGGACTACAGGCGCCCGCCACCTCGCCCGGCTAGGTTTTTTTTTTGTATTTTTTAGTAGAGACGGGGTTTCACCGTGTTAGCCAGGATGGTCTCGATCTCCTGACCTCGTGATCCGCCCGTCTCGGCCTCCCAAAGTGCTGGGATTACAGGCTTGAGCCACCGCGCCCGGCCACATATAAATTTTTAAACCTACAGCCTGATCATTATATGCTAAACCAAATTATTAATATAGTTGATCGAACACCCACACATGCACAGTCGCACCTGTAGAGGGCGCACATTATCTGTGCTCCTGTAATACCAAGGCCACGCTTTTTTTTTTTTTTCTTTTTTTTTTTTAATTTATTTATTATTATTATACTTTAAGTTGTAGGGTACATGTGCATAACGTGCAGGTTTGTTACATATGTATACTTGTGCCATGTTGGTGTGCTGCACCCATCAACTCGTCATTTACATCAGGTATAACTCCCAATGCAATCCCTCCCCCCTCCCCCCTCCCCATGATAGGCCCCCGTGTGTGATGTTCCCCTTCCTGAGTCCAAGTGATCTCATTGTTCAGTTCCCACCTATGAGTGAGAACATGCGGTGTTTGGTTTTGTGTTCTTGTGATAGTTTGCTAAGAATGATGGTTTCCAGCTGCATCCATGTCCCTACAAAGGACACAAACTCATCCTTTTTTATGGCTGCATAGTATTCCATGGTGTATATGTGCCACATTTTCTTAAGGGCCACGCTTTTTAAGTAAGCATTTAGTTTTTGTTTTTGTTTTTGTTTTTGTTTGTTTTTGTTTTTGTTTTTGTTTTTGCATTCCTTCATTTAGTTTTCACCACCCAGAACTGTGACATGTATATAAAAATGAATCATGGGTGTTTGTAGAACTGAACTGAAGTAGATTTTGTGCTAATGGAAAAAGCAATCACCTGATGTATCTTGGAAAAAAGTAATAATGCATTGAGTGGCTGTGATATCACATCAGCCTGACACCATGCTGAACATCACATTCATGCATGCAACGTTTCATGTATCCTATAAAAATTATATAGCAGATACATGGCAGAAGGTGTTCTTTTCAGATAGTTTGTGGTAGTAAAAAAAATCTCCGTATTAGCAATGAGTATAATAGGATTAAACATAATTTTATTACGGTCATCTACTAAAATCTTAATGTGAAATATATTAAAAAGCTTGGGAGCGCGCCTGACTGGCCCCGCCGTGGGGCCACGCGGGGGCCCACGCAGCTGGACGCGCGGACCCAGCCCAGGCGCCCATGGCCCGGGCCGGGACTGCCCAGCGGAGCCGCATGCCTCCCGCCGGGCCGGCGGGCAGCACAGAGGAGCTGCCGCGAGCCTTCCTGCGGAGCCTGAGCACGCTGTTCCACATCCTGGACGACCAGCGGCGCGGCTCCCGGCACCTGCGCGAGATCCAGTCCCGCTGGCAGGGCGCCGACGCGCGAGAGCTGCCCCGCGGGGTCCTGAGGGCCTGCGCGAGGTGGCCCCGGACAGCGGCTACCTGACCTTCGAGCGCTTCATGGCCGGCCTGCGCACCGCGCTGCTGAGCGCCGACGGCGGCCCCCGGGACCCCACGCACGCCCCGTTCTGGCCCGGGGACCAGCCGCCTCAGCCGCCGCAGCGCCTGATGTTCGCGCCGGCAGACGAGCAGCGGACGATCCTGGAGAGGAAGCCCCTGCCCCTGGGCGTGCGCGCTTCTCTGGCCGTTCCCAGCGGCGCGGCCCGCAACCCGGAGCAGCTTTGCGCCCCCGCCGAGGTCACGCCCTACCCCGCCGAACCAGAGCGCTCCCAGAGCGCTCCCAGAGCGCGGCGCTGGAACGGAGCCCCAGGGCGGACGCAGGTGCATCGGCCTGCAGGACCCTGGAGGCGGACTCGGGGGGTGCCCAGTGCCGGAGGGGAACGTCGGAGGCACACCATCACCAGCGGCGTGGACTGCTGAAGCACATGAAGGAGCTGGAGCAGGAGAAGGAGGTGCTGCTGCAGGGTTTGGAGATGATGGCGCAGGGCTGCGATTGGTAACAGCAGCAGCTGCAACGAGTGCAGGAGCGCCAGTGCCGCCTGGGCCAGAGCAGAGCCAGCGCCGACTTTGGAGCCATGGGGAGCCCCGGCCCACTGGGGCGGCTACTGTCCAAGGTACAGGAGGTGGCCGGGTGCCTGGGAGACCTGCTGGCTGCGGCTTGTGCCGGCCGGGCCCTGCCCATGTCCTCCTCCGGGCCCCCCCAACTCTGCCCTGACGTCCACCTCGTCCCCGGTCTAGCAGCAGCAGACCATCCTCACGCTGAAGGAGCAGAACCGACTCCTCACCCAGGAGGTGACCGAGAAGAGAGAGCGCATCATGCAGGTGGAGCAGGAGAAGTCCGCGCTGATTAAGCAGCTGTTTGAGTCCCGCACCGTGAGCCAGCAAGACGGGGGCGCCTCTGGACCCCACCATATTGCCTGACACTCAGACCTTCGGGGCGAGCGCTCTATCGCACCCAACCTCTCTGTCTGGAGACCCCCGGCAGGCCCAGGCAGGCCCAGAATGGTTTCCTTCCTGCACCCCTTGCTATCCAGGCTTCCCAGGCCTGCCCCCGGCTGGTCCCCACACCGAGCCCTTGACTTGGTTTTGGCTTCCGGTGCTGACATGGGCTGAGGCTCTCTTAAGTCCACATAGTTCGTGACTACTACTGCCGCTGTCAGTGGACAGTGGGGGACCCCTCCGCCAGTTACCAGATCTCTGGTCGCCCGGGTTTCCAGCGGTGCTGCCCTGGATCCCACCTCCAGGGAAAGGCACTACTCACGCCAGGCTGAACTTCCGACAACGGCCAGCAGAGGGCGCCAGGCGGCACGGATGCGGCTCTGAGGCTATGCCCCAGACCCGGGGAGGAGGTCCAAGGGCAGCTTACCGCCAACCTCAACCAGGGCACCAGGACAAGGTGGCTGTCGCTCGGTCGGAAGCAGATGGAGGGGATAGGGAAGGCCTGTAAACAGGGGTTGCCCGCCTGGCAGGGGAGCCCCAGGGATGGCAGTCGGACTTCAGGTCCGGGCTAAGGCTGAGAGACTCTGGCTGCTGCGGATCGGGGAGCCGGTTGGACCAGAACTTGGCCTGCGTGTACCTCCCGCAGACCCCGCGGTGATGGTCCTCCTCATCCTGGCCAGGACGCTGCCCCACATTGAGTCCCACAGAACAACCTATGAGCCTGGCTCCCCAGGAGGGCCCTGTCCCCAGGAGGGGGATCAGGTTGGGCCGCCAGACAGGTTCCAGGCACGTCGTAGGGGAAGTCTGTCACCTCCCGGGTTCACGCCATTCTCCTGCCTCAGCCTCCCGAGTAGCTGGGACTACAGGCGCCCGCCATCATGCCCGGCTAATTTTTTTGTATTTTGTTTAGTAGAGACGGGGTTTCACCGTGTTAATCAGGATGGTCTCGATCTCCTGACCTCGTGATCCACCTGCCTCGGCCTCCCAAAGTGCTGGGATTACAGGCGTGAGCCACCGCGCCCGGCTGACTTTCACTGTTTTCTGTCTGACTTCTCTCCCTGTCCTCTTTGCACTTCCTGGGATTACCTCCCACATTAACCTCTTGCACCTATTAAGTATCACAACTTTCTAATGGAAAACAAATGATAATTTATTCACTATTTTATCAAATACAATAGAAAATTCATATGGCAAATGAGTAGCAGATGTTATATTTGATAATATTTTTATTGTATCGTGCTTGCTAAGTTTTATTATAAAGCTATAAATAACAATCAAACAATTAAACAGCTTTTCAAGCACACTTCTAAAGAATAAGCCCTCTACTAGGCACAGTGGCTCATGCCTGTAATTCCAGGATTTTGAAAGGCTGAGGTAGAAGGATCACTGGAGCCCAGGAGCTTGAGAGCGACCTGGGAAACATAGTGAGATCCCATCTCTACAAAACACTAAAAACATTTTTGAAAAAGGAAAAAGGATATACACTCTCTTTGCATTCACTGTTTTAATATACAGCACCTAGGATTGGTGTTTTCTAAATCTGTGGGGTTTTCTTTATGACACACCCTTCCAGTGTACCAGGTGATGGTCTTTTTGTCAGATCTCATGAAATGGCACAAGTAACAACAGGCATTCCTAGTCATGCTCTCCTGTCTTCCTGTGTTCCAGAGAAATGTTTCTGCCTAGGGAGGCCTTATGATACAGTTCCTGTCAATGAGATTTAGAGAGAAATGCCTGGGGAGGCTGCCCTTCTCTGAATTAAAAGGTAATGGTTTTCCGTGTAATTCTCTGTGTCCTATCATCTTCACATTTTGTCCTTGTTGCTGTTTGGAATGTGGTTAATGCCTGGACATGGGACAGCCAACTTGGAGTCCAGAAGAAGTAAGCATGAGCAGTTACTAAGCATAGACAACATCAGAGAGAGGAAATAAAAATAAGTTGCTACTTCATTAGGTCACTGGGTATTTCATCTGTCCTGGTGCTACCTATTTATGTTGTACATAAAATGAAATACACATAACACGTGCTAGTACTATATGACATTATTGTCTTGATATCACCAAACACAAATTACTAGCTGCAGAATTAGATGCATTACTATGTGTCAATTGCACCAGTGTTGAATGTGTGGGCGTGACCTGTTACCTAATTTTATTGTATCTATTCCCACAGTTGACCTTCAACTTTCCTCTCTAGACAGGCTGCACAGAAGCAGAACATGGGCTGTAAAAGAACCTGAGAACTTCTAGCCTAAAAGCTGTGTGTAGTGCTTGAGGTTGAAACACCCACAGCATCTGTCTGGAAATCTTTCCCCCAACCCCCAACTCCAGCATCTGTCTGGAAATCTTTCCCCCAAATTTTCTGGTTCCTCCCACAGAGCCAGGACCACATGATGAGGCTGATCAATCAGCGGAGTGGACAGGAGGGAGGTTCCTGCCTCCTACAGTGGATCAACCTAAGTTGGGGTTATACTTCATGTTCACCATCTGGGACACAGATTGTGTGTAACCACAGCATGCACACCTTGCAGATCCTGCTTCATACCGTCTCCCAAAGACATCGTAATTATTAAGATCTGGTGTGGCTACCTGATATTTTAAAGCTGTGCCTACAAAGTTTGCTTCATCTACTTCTCCTCATCTCTACAACTTCCAGTGATCTAGGCTTGGGGATGTACAACAGTCTGGTCTGCATCACTGCTCAATAATCCCTAGAAATCATGGGGACAGAATCTCTCTTCTCTGATTATCAGAAACTTGACCGAGCACGGCGGCTCAGGTCTGTAATTCCAGCACTTTGGGAGGCTGAGGCAGGTGGATAAATTGAGGTCAGAGCCGGGCACGGTGGCTCACGCCTGTAATCCCAGCACTTTGGGAGGCCGAGACCGGTGGATCCACGAGGTCAGGAGATCGAGACCATCCTGGCTAACACAGTGAAACCCTGTCTCTACTAAAAATACAAAAAATTAGCCAGGCGTGGTGGTGCGTGCCTGTAGTCCCAGCTACTCGGAGGCTGAGGCAGGAGAATGGCGTGAACCCGGGAGGCGGAGCTTGCAGTGAGCCGAGATGGTGCCACTGTACTCCAGCCTGGGCGACAAAGCGAGACTGTCTCAAAAAACAAAAAACAAAACAAAACAAAATAATAAAATTAAAATTAAAATTTAAAAATAATTGAGGTCAGGAGTTCTAGACCAGCCTGGCCAACACTGTGAAACCCTGTCTCTACCAAAAATACAAAAATTTGTCAGGCATGGTGGTGGCGCACACCTGTAATCCCAGCTACTCAGGAGGCTGAGGCAGGAGAATCACTTGAACCCGGGAAGGGGAGGTTGCAGTGAGCCGAGATCGCACCACTGCACTCCAGCCTGCATGACAGAGTGAGACCCTGTCTAAAAAAAAAAGAAAGAAAAGAAAAATAAACTTAATATATTTCCCACATCCCCAGCTCATCTCTGTCACATTTGTTCGTGTGATGACACCACTTGTGGCTATCCTAAGACCTCTGAGTGATTACGGAGAGCTCACTTCAATTTCCACCCCAAATTTCAAATGCATCTGCTATATATTTTTTTCAATAGGCCTCATCTACCTTGCTAAGAAAGACACCATCATCATGTTTAATCTGTCTCCACATCTGCCGCAGTGCTGACTGCCTGATCTTATCCTCTGGACTATTGCATTACTTTTCTCTTACCTCAATTCAGTGATCAGAATGTGCTATTTAAAACCCATCAGTGGCCTCGAACTCTTCAGTAAAAAACAATTTATCATTGCATTGTAAAAGTTCCAAACTATTCATCAGAACTGAAAAAAGTGTTGTGTGAGATTCCATGGGGTAAGGAGAGCAGTGAGGAAGCTGTAACCATAACACAGACAAGAAGGTGGCTTTGATACATATGTAGCTGGGGGTAAAAATAAAGAGGCAGTGAGGAACTGGAGATAATTGTAAAATAAAACAAGCAGAATTTTCTTTTCTAAATTCAGTCAGTTCAGCTGAAGAGCAGGTGTCCTCTCTCCACATGCACAATCAATGCTATTTCTTCACTCTAAATGTTTCAGTCTCTTACCTGAAAGATGTGATGTCACTCCAGTAGAAATGGTTTTCTTGACCTGGCACAGTGGCTCTTGCCTGTAATTCCAGCACTTTGGGAGACCGAGGTGGGTGGATCACGAAGTCAGGAGATCAAGACCATCCTGGCTAACACCGTGAAACCCCATATCTACTAAAAATAGAAAAATTAGTCCGGCATGGTGGCACGCACCTGTAGTCCCAGCCACTCAGGAGGCTGAGGCAGGAGAATCCCTTGAACCCAGGAGGCAGAGTTTGTAGTGAGCCAAGATCGTGCCACTGCACTCCAGCCTGGGGGACAGAGCAACAGTCTGTCTCAAAAAAAAAAAAAAAAAAAAAACAGTTTTCTCTTAAATGTTGAGTACCTGGTACACACCCAGCACTGCCCTCTGTGTTTTGTTTACCTTATATAAACATATAAAAGGTAAATACATATAAAACATATAAAAGCTATATAAAAGAACTCCATAACTTATAAAACATTCTAAATTTCCACTGGGAAAAAAACAGCTTGGTAAAATTAAAATATTATATGATGTCGCTTAAAATAAATAGAAGGAACAATTAATTAAAGAAAATTTTGACTTAAATAGTTTTTTCTCCAATCAGTAAGTGAGAAAATGGAATGCAATAGTGAAATGAAATGTAATATGCTTACTCACTGTAGAATTAAATCTTCAAATTAACTTCTGAGCAACATTAAATTTTATGAAAACACTTTAAAAATCCCTGGGCAGATAATACAAAAATATTTCATAAACTTTGGAACAAAAAAATTATATATTCGTTCTCATATGAATAATAGGCAACTAAACAAACAAACAAAAAATATATATATATATAAGGAAGATTCTGAACCCAGGAGACTTGAGATTTGGGAAAAGAAAGTTTAGCATACAATAGAGAAACTAATTTTGCTTTAAACATTTGTGAGGTTCCTGATTTGCTAGCAAATTGTCAACTTTTCTGACACTATTTTTTTGGTCCACTATTTCCTCTCCCATTTAAAGAAGTGTACACACACACACACACACACACACAATTTCCTCCTTTATATTTCTCTTACACTTATAATTTATTTTTAGCTTAATATATTTGTATATTATATTCAATATAAATCAAAACACAAAAAAATCTTTATGTGTTCAGTTGGGGACATATACAGGAAATGTGCAAAGAAAAATATTCAGTAAATTTTATTTATTTATTTATTTTGAGATGGAGTCTCACTCTGTTGCCTAGACTGGAGTGCAGTGGTGTGATCTCAGCTCACTGCAAGCTCTGCCATCCAGGTTCAAGTGATTCTCCTGCCTCAGCCTCCTGGGTAGCTGAGATTACAGGTGCATGCCACCATGCCCGGCTAATTTTTTGTATCTTTAGTAGAGAGGAGGCTTCACCATCTTGGCCAGACTGGTCTTGAACTCCTGACCCTGTGATCCACCTGCCTCAGTCTCCCAAAGTGCTGGGATTACAGGCGTGAACCACCGTGCCTGGCCAATATCCAGTAAATTTTTATAAATAATGATGTAAAATTCAGAAACTATGACTTCCAATTACTTTCCTGTGTGATCTTTATTCTAACTGGCACATCTTCCCATAGTTACCAAAAGCGTTAAAAATGTGAAATAGAGCTTTTGACAACAATAGTCTCCAAATTGTTTAAATTATCTGAACAAATGATTACTAAATAAGTCATTTCACTGCATTACCCAATAGTATATTATTACCATCTGTTGCCCCCAATCTTGATTAAAGTAAAATAGTTTAACATTGGTGGCAGGATAACATTTTATGTATTGCACATCAGTGTTAAAACATTGAAAACCATTTCGTTTATTAATTAAAACTAAGTTCACACATAGTCTAAGTAAGGCATTGCAAACTCTGCTATATTCTTCTTGGTCAAAATATAGTCACAAACACTGAATAAGCATTATTTTTTCTCTGATGCAGTTATCTTAGACACTTCCTTTCTCTACTTTTAAAGACTAAGGTTAATTATTTAGGAAACATTGATTTAAAATACATTTAAAACCTTTCATGGAGGTGTTACCTTTACTTTTCTCTGGTATCTGTAATTTTAAAAACAATTTTATTACCCTGAATAATATTTAAGACTTTAAAACCTTTTACCATAATACATTGATATTTTGAAAGACTGGCCAGCTTTTTTATCCCTTAGGGAGAAATGATTGGTAAAATTATTTATTTCAAAAATTCATAATTTTTCACTCTTGCTTTAATAGAGAAGAATAATTCTGAGAACATCTACCTCATGTAGAGTTTAAGTAAACCAAAAGAAGCATCTCTCTTTCTTTTTTTTTTTTTTTTTTTTTTTTTTTTTTTTTTTTTTTTGGTTTTTCAGATGCAGTTTCACTCTTGGTGCCCAGGCTGGAGTGCAATGGTGCAATTTCTGCTCACTACAACCTCTGCCTCCCGGGTTGAAGCAATTTTCCTGCCTTAGCCTCCTGAGTGGCTGGGATTACAGGCACCCACCACCACACCCAGCTATTTTTTATTTTTTTTGTATTTTTAGTAGAGACAGGGTTTCACCATGTTGGCCAGGCTGGTCTCAAACTCCTGACTCCAGGTGATCCACCCACCTCAGCCTCCCAAAGTGGTGGGATTACAGGCATAAGCCACTGAGCCTGGCAGGTTTTTTTTTTTTATATTTATTTTTAAATTTTACATTTGCCACTAAGATTCCATGGAGAAATTCCATATAGAATGGCCTCTTCCAGCTCTGATGCAGCAACAATAGGCCACATGTTTTCACATAAACACTAGGAATGCAGGCATAGTGCCAACAGATTTGAGAGTTGAATTACATCAGTAATAGTTGTTTCTAAAAAGAATCTCAAATAATGACAATACAAAATAAGTATCCATTGAAATAATAATTATACCTGTCCAAATACCAGAGTCCTTGCTTCTTTGAAACATACAAACAAATAAATTATCTAATTGTTTTGACTTTAGATTATGCTCTATATTAAATATTCTTGTTTAATGTAAAATTTGAAAATTTTAGTGCCTTCGTACTTTATCATGGAAATTCTCCGGTTTATTTAGACTTGATTTTTGAATACTTCCTCACATTTATTGTATCTGAAAAGTTTCCCTATGGAAGAATTCCCTGTGAATTCTGGTTATTTCTAAAGTTTATATTTTAGATCAAACTCTTTCTACAACCATTACATGTATAGTGTTTCTCTAATATGAATTATCTGACGTTGAGTAAAGTGTGAACAATAAAGGCTTTGCCACATTTTTTACATTGTATTTAAAAGAGCACATAGAAAGCAAATCTGTTTTATTCATTAAGACAAATTAATAATCTGTTTTCCATTTTAGAGAAATTGTGAGGGATTTTTTTCTAGCTAGTCATAATCCTTTATTTTTATTTATTTATTTTTTGAAACAAAGTTTCGCTCTTGTTGCCCAGGCTGGAGTGCAATGGTGCAATCTCAGCTCACCGCAATCTCCGCCTCCTGGATTCAAGTGATTCTCCTGCCTCAGCCTCCCTGGTAGCTGGGATTACAGGCATGTGCCACCATGCCCAGTTAATTTTGTATTTTTAGTAGAGATGGGGTTTCTCCATGTTGATAAGGCTGGTCTTGAACTTCCAACCTTAGGTGATCCACCTGCTTCAGCCTCCCAAAGTGCTGGAATTACAGACATGAGCCACCATGCCTGGCTGTCATCATCCTTTGTATAGACAGATTAGGGGGTCCCTGGGTGCTGGAAAAGGGGTCTCAGGCCCACTCAGATATCCAAGAAGGTTCTGGTTGGGATTCTTTCATTTAACACAGAAATACTGAGCACTTAACTTTGTGTGATTACTTTTCTAGAACCTTGGCATAATTCAACAACTTCAGTATTTAGATCTCTGGGCCTCAATTCTATTCAATGAGTTAGACACTCCTTCAAAGTAGACAGACATCATAGCAGGTCATGTCCACAGGATGTGAGATAAGATGCCCAATGGCTTCTTCTAGATAGGGAGGCACTCTCTCAGATTCTGACCAAGATGACAAATCCCAGGACCAACTATAAGGTGGGTGGAATTTGAGTTCATAACAAGGGCTTCCTGTCCCCCAAATATATGGGAGAAATACAAAGACCATGGTTGGGAAGAGGCCGAAAGAACCCTGAGTCTCATGCATCTTATGATTCCCATGGGAATGCTGGGGTCTGGGTATTCTGCAGAATAAAAGGAGTCAAAGAGGCTGCAGATGGGCCTCAGGCCCCCTACTAAGAAGAGAGGAGGCTGGAGCTCCCAGCCAGCCCTTGACAGACCCATCCCTGTTACAGTCACATCCCAGCTCTGCCTGTCCCCCTTTATCTCACATCCAGGGGGCCCAGAACTGGAGTTATGATGAGCAGCATGCTTCTCATAACCCTCCTTCTGCGGATGCCATAGACGGGCCTGGGGGGCAGCACGCCCAAATAGTCGAGGGCACTCTTTGAAGACGCCAAGGTCCCCTCCCCGTCTTGGACGCCTTAGCCTGCACCATTGCGCTCCACCTGGCTACGGCCACTGTGGCGGACACCCCCTCGGAGCTCCTGGAGAGCGGCAGGTGAAGAAAGACTCAACCGGCACAAGACCAAGGTCCAGGTTCAGCGGGTTGAGGCTTCGAGGACGCGGAACGGACACCTGGGTGGAAAGTGGTCACCAGGTGTGAGTGGCACCGTGGGGCCAGTCCCCGGTTTTGCTGCCCCTGCTTTCAGAAGATCGTGGCTGGAGTCACCTGGGCGCAGCGTTTGATGTGGCACCTGCAGCGGCAGAACCGACACCCAACCAAGAGGACGCTGCAGGGAGCCGGCATGCAGACGTCTGTCCCGTCTGTTCACAGGGCCCAGTTCCTGGCCAGCTTTGGCCAAAGCGAGAGACTGGACTTCGGAGAGTGAGTGTGAGTGCATGAGCTCATGTTCAGCCCTCCAGTGCCCGGCATGACAAGGTGACACCCTCTAGCGTCACCACTGCCCGCACCCTGCTTTCATACCTGGGGCTGATAGGTCTCTCCCCCAGAGATGCAGAAAGCAAAGAGGAGGGGAGCGGCCGATGTCCCAGGGCTGTGGGGCCGCTGGCTGTCAAGGTCAGGCGGGACATAGTGGGTCTTCTAGAAGGGTTTGTGGGCCAGCAGGGGTAAGGCTGCGCCGACCCCAACCTGCATGAGGACCACATCCCCGAGGTGGAGCACCTACAGTCCCCAGCGAAGCCGGGCTAAGCGCTCCGCGTGCCCTCTGCTCCTTACATGGGCCCCAGGCTCCACACGGTAAGCAGAGAGCAGTGGCCTCGTGGGCAGCTGCCGGGCACCTGCCCCCTGGGGACAGCCAATTCCTAGGGGGACCGAGGCATCCTCATCCCTAGCCTGGCAGCTTCACAGGAAGGCTGTGCCTGACAAGTGGTAGGGGAGGGTCTGGGGAGGGGCAGTGGCGCAGCCAACCTGGGTGACTTCTAAGTGAATAAGCTGGGGGTCCGGCTGCCTCTGGCTGGAGGTTGGGGTGGTGTCTGCCTGGACCTCGGGGGCTCCAGGCTACCAACTGCCTGTCCAGGTTCTGGGCGCCTTCTCCAGACCTCAGATTCCTCAGCTGTCTGAGAGGACTGATAGGGCATGATATGGCAGGGGTGTTTCAGGATTGGGTCAGATGATCCCCTGTAATCTCTTATTACCCCCTCCCTCCCGTCCACTTTCCTGCACGCAGCCTCCTTTTTTTTTTTTTTTTTTTTTTTTTTTTTTTTGCCTATTCTGAGTTTGTCATGAGACTTTGTGGAATGTCTCTGGTGGGGAGGTAGGAAAGGTGAAACCCCTTGGCTTCAGTGTTCCTTCCAGGCACCCCTGACTTCGGGCTTTTTAAAAAGCACAGACCTGGCACCACATCCTGTACCTCAGAGAGTTGCAGAGAACTTCATGCGATTCCCAAACCAGAACACTTTGATGCTGACTCCAGACCCTTACCTCACCCCAAAACCCAAATGCCTTGGGGTGGCCACCTTCAGACAGGAGTGAATTTGATGCTTGTTCTCTGGGATTGACCCAAGGCTTATATAATGAAGCACGCCTGCCCCTGTGTTTTGGGGGCGTCAACAGTAGTGACCCGGAACTGTGAGCACCATTCCCCACACAGAGTACAGGGAACACAGCCCTATCCAGCAGGCTGGCCTGGCCATGGCCTGATGGTCATCAGTCCCAAGGCAAGAGACCCAAGGCAGGGAATGTCTCTTGCCCCCAACTTTTACAATGCAGCCATTTAACTGGAGGTGGTGGCCTCTGTGGGTCCTCCAGCCTTCAGATTGTTATCCAGGGCCACCAAGAGAAGCTGAAGCACAGGGCCAGTGGGTGGCAAAATTAGAGACTCTGTGATTGGGAAATATCACTTTAGACACATCATGGCCCATTCGGGACATCTGGGCTCCATCCATGGGCTGTTTTTCCATGGGGCACTTTGGTTGTGGTCAGCACCCTGTAGGGTGGGGGTGGGGGCACAAGGAGGAGCAAGTGGTCTGGAATCCACAGAAGTGCCCCATCCTGGGCACAAAAGTTTTGTTCTCTGATATGTGTGGGCATCAGGGCCTGTGTGGGTATGGGTGGGGTTGCCTCTTTTCTTGACCAAGAAAGAACCATTCCTGGGTCTCCTGGGAGGCTTATGGGCACTCCATGTACCTGGAAGCTAAGTGGAGCACGTGAGGGCTCTGCAGGACTCTCCCCTGCTGCCTCCTCCCCAGTGGGAACCAGGCCATGTGCTCTTAGTGCTGACTCATGCCCTGGCCCACATTGCCCTTCACTCAGCAGGCTCCTCCCTGATGCCCCCAGCTCGGCTCCTTTTGAGTCTCCTCAGGCTCTTGTGAGCCCTGGGATAGCATCACAGAAGTTGACAACCCTGCTGCCGGCCTCTGCCTGAACTCAGAGTCCCTCGTGGGCAGGATGGGCAGGTCAGGTCTCAGCTTTTGGCTGAGCACAGGTTCTTTTGCCATGCCACAATGATGGAGACACTGGGCAGGGCTGACCTGGGAGCTGCTCTATGGCCTCCCTAGTCTGTCACTGCACCAGATTGAAGCAGTATTTCTGCAGATGGCTTCACCTATTGTCACTATCCAGACACTAGAACCAACTGGCTGTTGCTCTTGGCCCAGGGTCTTGGGCTGAGGCTGTCATGACCAGCATGTTCTCTGCCATGTGGGAGCCTCAGCTCCCAGTGCTGAGTGATTCCCAAAAGACATGACAGCCAGAACTGGGAGGCTGGAACTCAGAACAGGAGTACCCCTGACTCTGGGGCTTCCAGAAAGCTGGCCCTGAGCTGTGGCCCCTCCTAAAGACAGGCTCCTCTGAGATCACACCGCTGCACTCCAGCCCGGGCGACAGAGTGAGACTCCATCTCAATAAATAAATAAATAAATAAAAAAATAAATAATAAATAAAGGCTCCTGTGGATATTTCAGGGGTCAAAAGTGGGTCCTTCTGGCTGGCAGGATTCTGGTGATCACTGGGCAGGTGGGGCTGGCTTAGGTAGGTCAGGCACAATAGGGCCTGGTAGAGAAGTCAGAGAATGGTGTGGCCAGAATGGACAGCTAGACCTTTGAATCTAGGCCATACACAGGCAGAAAAACAAGCGATGGTGCAGTCAGCTCAGGCAGGTCTAGGTCAGAGCGCCTGCCAGATAGGAACATGCACCCCTGCCCCAGACCCCAATCCCAGAACACCTGCCTGCACTGGGCATTGTCGGGTCTTGGCAGAAAGGCCTGGGGGTGATGATCAGGTGGTGTGTCCCTGGGTCTCAGGCCTCAGTGGCTCCTTAGCAACTGGGCAGTCACTGGTCAGGGGGAGGGGCCCAGAGATCACCTGTGTGCATCTGCCCATGGGTTGTGTTCCCACCCCAGCTTCTCAGCCCTCACAGGGAGAGGCCAGGGCTCCCTGCCTGCTCTGTTTCGAGCTCTGACCCACTCACCTGGTGACTCTGATGGCTTCCTCGCCCAAGCCTGGGTCCTTCTCTGTTAGACAGGGGTCCCAGGCTTCCTGCAGACAGAAGCCAACCAGCAGCCACACCCTGTGGGCCCACCTGGACCTCTTTACCCCACTGACCAGTGAGACCCAACTGGCCAGTCCTGGTGTCCTACTTGTATATTGCCTTTTTCCCCGGTGTGTTTCCTGTAATGACTGCTATGTGGAGCTTCCATATAAGTGCAGAATACAGAATGTCCTCTACCCCGCAGAGCCCCCACCATGGCCCTCCTGGGGCTGGTCATGCCTTACTCAACTTGGTGTAAATGACTGCTGTTGGCCGGGTACAGTGGCTCACACCTGTAATCCTAGCACTTGGGAGGCCAAGGCGAGTGATCACCTGAGGTCAAGAGTTCGAGACCAGCCTGGCCAACATGACGAAACCTTGTCTCTACTAAAAATATAAAAATTAGGCCGGGTGCAGTGACTCATGCCTGTAAACCCAGCATTTTGGGAGGCCAAACAGGTGGAGGACAATGTCAGGAGTTTGAGACCAGTCTGGCCAATACAGTGAAACCCTGTGTCTACTAAAATTACAAAATTAGCCAGGTGTTTTGGCGCACCCCTGTAATCCCAGCTACTCAAGAGGCTGAAGCAGGTTAATTGCTTGAGCTCGGCAGGTGGAGATTGCAATGAGCCGAGATCACACCACTGCACTCCAGCCTGGGCGACAGAGCAAGACTCTATCTCAAAAAGTAAAAAATAAATAAAAAATAAAAAACAATGGTTGCTGTAGCATGCACTGTTGAGAGCCACCCATCCACATGGCTGCCCGACCCTGAGTCTCCTTCCTTTTTGTTGCTGAGGTCTTTTCTATTCCCCTGCTCTTCACTTGAACTGCTCTTGAAGCCAAGATGAGGGATAAGTAGGGTGGTGCCAACAGGGACCCCTCCTGGGGTAAATCTCAGCTGTGAGGGGGTTGGGCTCACCCCCTCCTGTCATCTCCTCCTCTGAGCTTCATTTCTGCCAGAGGTCATCAAAGTGCAGCCTGTCCCCACCTGCTCTTCTGTCTCCCATGAGCCAAGGATGAATTTTACATTTCCAAATGGTCGAACGAACCAAAAGAAGACTCATACTTGATGTTTTGAAATTGGAGTTTCCAGTGCCTGTAAGGAAAGTTCTGTGAGATTGCAGCCTCGTGCCTTCATTCACAGGTTGTCTGCGGGAGGCTGCTGTCATGCTGCAGCTGCAGATTTGAGTCATTGCAATCGGCATGGGTTGGCAAAGCTGCAAATATTGACCCCTAGCCATTTTGAGGAAGAGGTTTTAGACCCTGGTTTGAGAATTGTCTGGTGGGACTCTGGGCTCTGGGTCAGATTCTTCCCCTCTCGGAGCTGCTTTGACCTTCACCGGGGTGTCTGTAAAGTGGGGGTGCCATGCACCTATTGTGCAGATGTTAAGCCCCAGAGCATCAAATATTGGGGTGCCTGCCTCATGTCACCCACCTCACCTGCAGAGGTCCTAGGATCTGATCCCAACCAGCAGGAGCACTTGGTGTTTGGTAACAGAGACACCACGGAGCTAAGTTGACACCTGCAACTTAGGTATCCCCTGGGGCTCACTCTCTAGGTCAAGGATGGTACAGGGCTGATGTCCTGAATCCCATTCTGGTGGAGCCTCAGATACTACAGGTGCTGAATGAGCTGCTGGCCTGCTGGGATGGGGGCAGCAGCTGGCAGAAATGGTTGTAGCTGCAGGACATTAAGGCAGCTGTGAGGCTACTGGGAGTCACACCTCAGGTCTCACTCCCAGTACCTGCCCAGCTGGAATATTTGTGCCCCAGTGGTTACTATGCAACAGGACCTGACACTGGCCAGGGAGCTATGGCCACAGGCTCTCTGCAGCTGGCCACAAAAAAAGAGTCTTCTCCTCCCCTATGCTAATTTACTGGATCCTCTTCTCTCATTCTCACTTAACCACTTCATTGCCTGAAAGCAGACCCAAAATTGCTCCTTGGACTGAAAATAGTCATTTTTTTCAGCCACCTATAGTGGCTACATCTCCTGGAGAACTTTGATTTTCTAGACACAGAGGGAAGGACAGGATACTGACAGGGCCTGGGTGGAAGATGCTGAAGGGGTCTTGTGGGGAAGGGAGGGAGTAGGGGTCCAACCTCCTGGGGCCTTTCCCCTAAGACGCTCCCTCCTCTCCTCCAATCCCATGCTGCTCCAATCTGTTCTCAGAGTTAGATAGATACAAGCAGCCCTCCTCCAAAGATTGGTCCTTGATTTCATCCCCTATTCATACCCTGTATTGAGATGGGTCTCCTCTTTCTCTGTGTATCAAACCCTCCCAATACATCTAAGATGAAGAGAATGGAGCCAGGCAGTGTGCTGCCCAGGGAATCCTGTAACCCCTGGCCCGTGGATAAACCCCATCCCCACCCCATCTCATGCTGCACTGCCACCAGGGTCAGGTTTTGGTATCAGGATGATGCTGGCCTCACTAAATGAGTTAGGGAGGAGTCCCTCTTTGTCAATTGTTTAGAATAGTTTCAGAAGAAATGGTACCAGTTACTCTTCGTACCTCTGGTAGAATTTGGCGGTGAAAACATCTGGTCCTGGGTTTTTTTGGTTAGTAAGCTATTTATTATTGCCTCAGTTTTAGAACTTGTTATTGGCTTACTCAAAGATTCAACTTCTTCAAAAAAATTTCAACAACAACAGATAAATCTAGAATTTAGTAACAGATGTACCATAGTTCTTAAAGTGTAAGTTTTACTCTCCCCAGTCTGCCATTTTACTAAAGACAAATCATGGTATGACCAAGTTGCTTTATTATACTTGGCCTGATTATTTGGATGAAGTGCAGCAAGAATAATTATTTTTACATAGGTTTTAAAAATTGGAATTGATGAAATTTTGTTCCATAAAATGAATCTCAGATAAGAATTTTTAAAGCTGAGCCAGTCATGAGTCTATACCCTGAAATATGAGTTGCATACATTTCTCTTTTGATATCACGGGATAACTCAGGCTCATGAGCCTGTGAAAAAGTGACATTATTTACTTACCACAGATTAGGAACCCTGTATAGGGACTGTGTAGACAAGGCATAAAGCCAGTTTTCCCAGTGGGCTTTTATTGGCTCTGTAAGTCAAGTTTGATTCCTTAAAGGAAAGCATGTCATTCCAGTCAAAGCCTTGGCAAAATAACTAATTTCCCCAACAGTGTCCTGTTGCAGAAGAAAACATTCTTTTGCACTTATGCAAATTATATTGCCATAAGTTAAGAATGCTCACAAATAGTTTCCAAATTCTGGAGAAAACAGACAGCAACAAATGTGCTCCAAATTTTGTTTACAGAAATATATTTTATTCGATTGCTAAAAGCTGTAAATAGCTCAAAATAAAAGTTTTCAGGACTCTGAAAAACAAAACAAAGAATCAGCAATATTTCAGGCAAAGTCAAAAAATTACTTTAGTCTTATATTAGTTCACTCCATGCAGTTATCTCCCTTTCTGCTTGATATTCATGAACATTTCAACTCTCCATGAGAGTCCTGAAAGTTTTTTCTTTATTCTATTGCCAAAATTTCCAAAGGTATCAGAAACCTGCATTTAAGAGCACCTATCAATGTCCTAAACATGATTGTAAATCACCTTTCAAAGAGGATTAAAACAAGACAACAATTGTCTGTGGATGACAAAGAAGTCTTAGGACAGCCACTATTAAAGCTACAATTGACAGATTTTGGTTACTTCTGTTGCATACAATGATTTTACATAACAATTATTACTATTAATAACATACACTAAGTCATACTGGAATTATACGAGTTTTCCATTGTTTTGAATCACATACCAATAACATATTTATACAAATACAGCCCAAGAAAAATCAAACACCATTTCATATTTGACAATGCTTTCCTTCTTTCCTTTTTTTTTTTTTTTTTTTTGAGATAGAGTATCCCTCTTTTTGCCCAGACTGGAGTACAATGCTGCAATCTCTGCTCACTGCAACCTCCGCTTCCTGACTTCAAGTTATTCTCCTGCCTCAGCCCCCTGAGTAGCTGAGATTACAGGTGCATGCCACCACATCTGGCTAATTTTTTTGTATTTTTAGTAGAGACAGGGTTTCACCATGTTGTCCAGGCTGGTCTCTAACTCCTGATCTCAGGTGATCCACCCTCCTTGACGTCCCAAAGTGCTGGGATTTCAGGTGTGAGTCATTGCACCCAGCCTGACAATGCTTTCTGACATTTCTTCCTGTATGATTTTTATACCAAATAAGCCAAATGTCATTTTTGTACTTTAGAGGACCTAATATCTAAAAGATGTTTAGGTAAGAAAAATACATAATTTATAATTTGATTTTTTAAAGGTTTGTCAAATATCAAATCCCAGGTTATCATAAGTCACTCATTAACCAAAATGATAACTCAAAAATTTTAAAAAGGCAAAAACCCTTACTCATGAATAGAGGGAAGACTTCACTTTCCAAACAATCTTTTTTTCCTTTCCTTTTGCTCCAGTTTATTCAAAAGGGCAGACAAAATCTTTCATTTTTAAAATATTACATGAAAATCTTGTTCATGAAAGAAAGCTAAATCTCACTGTTGCATTAGTGCACTATTGATGTCAAACCTAATTCTTAATAAAACCTTATAGACAAATCTATCTAGTCTTAATCAGTTTGACCATAAGGTAAGATTCCTATAACCCTTTTATAACACTTTACAAATTTTGTAAAAGAGCAGATTAGTGCTCTAAGGAAAACCAGTTGTACTTTTATTCCAGTGTTCAATTTATAAAAAAAACTGAATACGCCTTTAACTTTAGCCAATATGTTAACACACAGAATTTCTTTTACAAGATGTAAATTTTTACAAACCTTTCACAACTTGGTTAATCCTTCAGCTCCATTTTATCTAACTTAAAACAATCCTTTAATCCTTTAATTTAGGCCAAAAGTAATCCACATTCCCATGACTTCTTGTAATCTTTTACCAAAAACACATTTTACTTTTTTTACATACCTAGCATGTAAAACTGTTTTTATTTCCCAATGATTACTAAAGCGATGTAAACTACAGTACACCATGGTTTCTATTTTTCTGATAAAATATTTGATTTGAGCTCTTATTATTTTTAAACCAATTAATCAAAGCTCCTTCATATTACACACACAACACATAGAAATACACAGATGGAAGAAGATCAAGTACCTGTAAGATTTTTCATTCATCAGTTTCTTAATTGGATTACCACCCTGGCTTCAAGATGGATCCCTAGGAGAAACAGGGCCAGGAAAGCAAAAACCAAGCAGTTTCTACAGCCTAATAAGTAGGCACAGCTGGAAGGCAAAACAGATTTCCACCCCCGCCCCCCGCAAATTAAGTCTGCTATTTTTATACCAGAACCTGGATCCCAAAAAGAGAGAATCGGCCCATCTCCCATTGGCGTCTTACTTCTCATTGTGGGGAGGGGACATTTCCATGCCTTCTAGGCGGCCAAGAGCACATTTCTCTGATTCAAATGTGCAAAAAGCTGAGTTTCCCCTGTAGCTGCCATTAACCATCCCTAAATATATATTTCCTACCTACTTGTTACATATCTAAATTGTCTCATAATGTGAAGTAATTTCTGATACCCTGGAAAGTAAAAACCATCAGATAATGCAATGCAAAAATGGAACAGAGCCTTAGACTCTGAGAAGGATCTATCTACTTCCAATTCCTGGGGTTTCATGAGGAAAACAGACGTTTTTCCCAAAAAAGCCTATTGTGGCACCTCCTCTGTTTTTTCCAAGGACTTCCAGCTGTTGGAGCTTGAATATCTGCAATTAATTAAGCCAACTTTTGGGCCAGGTGTGGTGGCTCATGCCTGTAATCCCAGCACTTTGGGAGGCTGAGGCAGGCGGATCAATTGAGGTCAGGAATTCAAGACCAGCCTGGCCAAAATGGTGAAACCCCGTCTCTACTAAACATACAAAAATTAGCCACATGTGGTGGTGGGTGTCTGTAATTCCTACTACTCAGGAGGCTGAGGCAGGAGAATTGATTGATCCCGGGAGGTGGAAGTTGCAGTGAGCCAAGATTGCACCACTGCATTCCAGCCTGAGTGACAGAGCAAGACTCCGTCTCAAAATAAATAAGTAAATAAAATAATAATAATTAAGCCAGCTTTTAACCATGATGTCCTTTTTAAAAACATTTATTTAATTCTCACATTGCTTGACTTTAGCCATGCCAAATTGCCAACATTTCTGACTTTTGAACTTCATTAACATAACCTCCCAGTTCAAACCAATAAACTTTTGCTTTGTTTTGTTTTGTGTTTTGTTTTGTTTTGAGATGGAGTCTCCCTCTGTCACCCAGGCTGGAGGGCAGTGGCCAAACTCGGCTCACTGCAACCTCCGCCTCCTGAAACCAATAAGCTTTAACTAAGGTTATGAACCTAACCACGAGTGTACAAGGTATTTTCAAAAAGGTGCCAAGCAGTTTTTACAAAATCTAGAATCTTCAAAGGTAGCTCAGAGAAAGGAAAATCCAAAATGGTTCATGGAGGGGAGGAGAATCAACAAATGTTCACACAGATATCAAATCAGAAAGGACTCATTTCCTAAGCCAGAAATTGAACTCTGAACTCCGGTTGCCACTGTGAGACAGCAAAGCCCAACTACTGAGCTACAGCACTGAGCAGTCTCCAATGGAGTCTCCCAGAAGAAGCCTACAGCAGCCAATTTTGAGCTTGCAAAGGTTTTTAACGGCTCAAAGATCATTTTTAGAGTTAAGTATAACATAAATTTCAAAATTTCTGTATGCTGATAGTAGAAACCAAGAGAAAATACTGCCACACGGCTACAAGTTCAAGCTCCCAAGAACATAAAACAAGAGGGAAACTTGATCCATTATTTTGTTGTTTTTGTTTGTTTCAGGGACTTCTTTTTTGTTTCTTTCTTTCTTTCTTTTTTGAAATGGAGTCTTGCTCTGCCTCCCAGGCTAGAGTGCAATAGCACCATCTTGGCTCACTGCAACCTCTTTCTCCCAGGTTCAAGCAATTCTCCTGCCTCAGCCTCCCAAGTAGCTGGGACTACAGGCGCGTGGGGCCACGCCTGGATAATTTTTGTATTTTTAGTACAGACGGGGTTTTACCATATTTGCCGGGCCTGTCTCGAACTCCTGAACTAGTGACCTGCCTGCTCGGCCTCCCAAAGTGCTGGGATTACAGGTGTGAGCCACCGCGCATGGACGGGAATTACAATTTGAGATGAAATTTGGGTGGAGCCACAGAGTCACACCATATCACTGCAAAGGATCCACAGCAAGAAAGGTCATAAAATCCTAAATTTTAAAATGCTTGTTATTATTTCAATTTATGAATAAATATTGTATATCATTTATAAATGCATGTCACGTTGTACACAAGGTTAAATGCAAATATCCTATGAAGTTGGCCTGGTTCAGATGAAGGAATAAGCCCTGCCTGTAAAGGCTGCAGCCTAGGCTGTTGCTTTTGCTCGATTCAGCCCAGTGTCTGATCACGTATTACCTCATTGGGGCATGAAGGATGGGGCCTGAAACCTTATCCAATCAGGAGCCGCAGACTAGAAACTATCCAATCAGGCATGCAGCTGGAGAGAATAGGCTGCTTCCGTTAAGTTTGCGGGTCCTTTGTGTTTCTCTGCGTCCAGAGCTGCAGTTCTTCTCTTCACTGCTCTGCGTCCTCTGCTCCTACAGGTCAAATCTATGTGTCCTTGTGTCATGCAGGTATCCGCAAATTTGTGACTGAAAGACCAGGACCCCCTGGAAGCCGAGAAATGGTGAGTGCTGGGTCTGTCATCGTGAGAGAGGGGTGGAGGCTGGTTGGAACCGGCTGAAAGTGGCTGTGGCAGGACCCAAACTTTCCCGCAGTCAGCTCCAGAGTCTGAGGACCCAAATCCTCTTTGGCCCAGCTCGGCTCTCAGTCCCCTTGAGCCGCAAGATGGTGCCTGGGCCAGCGGCTGGGACCCTGGGAGTTGAGTCTTTTTCCTCTGCCGTGGCTTTGCCCTGGACTGGAGGCCTCCCTGGTTTGCTCTGCACTCCCAGCGCCTCATCTCACCCATATTGTGCGGGGATGAGAAAGTCATTGGGGGAGAATCCTGACTCAGGGTACAGGATTCATGAGTGGAAAGAGCTGTGGTCCTGGGTTCCCTAGTTCCTCATTTTTCCTTTTAAAAATGTATGAGAGTCACTGTAAAAATGAGAATCTGATCAAAGTGTGATTCAAGAATAGCGCCCAGCTATGGTTTGTGGGTTGTGATCCATGGGAGAGACTTGAAGAAAAGTCTAAGTTGCATGATGAAGCAAACCAGATTTAATAATTGGTTTGGTAGAGTTATGTAGTTTCCTTATTTGTAAGATCCCGGTGAACATTTCTTGGTTATGTCATCAGAGATTAATTGGCAGTCTGTGGTTGCCTACGCCTGAATATTTTCTTCAAGATAGTAATTTTTGTTTGTTTGTTTGTTTGAGAGGGAGTCTCGCTCTGTCCTCCAAGCTGGAGTTCAGTGGTGCGATCTCACCTCATTACAACCTCCGCCTCCCAGGTTCAAGTGATTGTCCTGCTTCAGCCTCCTGAGTACCTGGGATTACAGGTGCGTGCCATCACGCCCAGCTAATTTGTGTATTTTTGGTAGAGATGGGATTTCACCATGTTGGCCAGGTTGGTCTCCAACTTTTGGTCTCAGGTGATCTGCCTGCCTCAGCCTCCCAACGGGCTGGGGTTACGACTGTGAGCCACCACACACCCAGCTGAATTTTTGTTTTACCTTTTATTTTAGGTTCAAGGATACATGCAGGTTTGTTATATAGGTAAAATCGTATCATGAAGTTTTTGTGTAGAGATTATTTTATCACTCAGGTACTAGGCATAGTACCCAACAGATTTGTTTTCTGATTTTCTTCATCCTCCAACCCTCCACCCTGAACTGAACCTCAGTGTCTGTTGTTCTCTTATTTGTGTCCACGTATTCTCATTATTTCCCTCCCACTTAGAAGTGACAACATACAGTTTTTGATTTTCTGTTCCTGCACTAGTTTTCTAAAATAACAGTCTGCAGCTCCATCGACATTGCTGCAAAGGACATGATGATGTTCTTTCTTGTAGCTGCATCATGTTTCATGGTGTTTACATAGCACATTTTCTTTATCCAGTCTACCGTTGAAGACATACAGGTTTATTTCTTGATTTTACTATTGTGAATCGTGCTGCAATTAACATATGCGTGCATGCGTCTTCATGGTAGAATAACTTACATTCATTGGGTATATTCCCAATTGTGGGATTGGGAGTGGTAATTCTGTTTTCAGGTTTTTGAAAAAATGCCAAGCTGCTTTTCTCAATGGTTAAACAAATTTATACTCCCGTCAGCAGCGTATAAGCATTCAGTTTCTCCATAACCTCATAAGCATCTGTCGTTTTTTGGGGTTTTTTTTTGACTTTTTAGTCCAATTGTTTTTATTTGAATTATTTCTTTTTTCTCCATTAGTCTAGTGTTTTATCTGTCTTCTTGGTTTTACATAGAATCAACTTCTGGTTTCGTTGAACTTTTTTTTTTTTGAGACAGAGTTTTGCTCTTCTGCCCAGGCTGGAGTGCAGTGGCACGATCTTGGCTCACTGCAACCTCCGCTTTGCATTTTCAAGCGATTCTCCTGCCTCAGCCTCCCAAGTAGCTGGAATTACAGGCATGTACCACCACGCCCAGCTAATTTTTGTATTTTTAGTAGAGACGGGGTTTCACCATGTTGACCAGGCTGGTCTCAAACACCTGACCTCATGATCTGCCCGCCTTGGCCATCCAAAGTGCTGGGATTACAGGAGTGAGCCACAGTGCATGGCCCATTGAAATTTTTATAGTTGTTTTGTCTCAACCTTCTTCATTTCAGCTCTGATTTTGGTTATTTCTCGACTTTTGCGAGCTTTGAAGTTGGTTTGCTCTTACTTTTGAAATTAACATTAGATTTTTAAATTGAGATCTTTCTAACTTTTTGATGTGGATGTTCAGTTATATACATTTTTTCTTAACACATTATATAACATACATACATTTATATATATAACACATTATATAGCACATTATATACATTTTTTTCTTAACACATCTTAACACATAGCTCTAACTCTGAGATTCTGGTATGTTGTATTTTGGCTCTAATTAGTTTCAAAAATTTTATTTCTGCCTTCATTATTTACAAAATAGCCATTTGGAAGCTGATTATTCATCTTTATGTAATTGCATCATTTTGTATGTTTTTTGTATTGAATTATTATTCTGTACATTTTCTTTTTTTTTTTTGAGACGGAGTCTTGCTCTGTCACCCAGGCTGGAGTGCAGCGGCATGATCTCGGCTCCCTGCAAGCTCCGCCTCCCGGGTTCACGCTCCTGCCTCAGCCTCCTAAGTAGCTGGGACTGCAGGCGCCCACCACCACGCCCGGCTAATTTTTTGTATTTTTAGTAGAGACGGGGTTTCACCGTGGTCTCGATCTCCTGACCTTGTGATCCGCCCGCCTCGGCCTCCCAAAGTGCTAGGATTACAGGCATGAGCCACTGTGCCCAGCCTGTACATTTTCTGTTTAAAATTAATGATAGAGAAACATAAGAAGAAATAAAAATCCTCTGCTCTTAATGTAAATGCTAACAATTATTCAACGCTTAGTACCAACTCCCAGGGTGCTATGAAAATTAAATCACAAAATATGTTATTCCCAGCACAGTGTTCTGTGACATGCTCCTGAGCACATAGTACCTACTTAATAAACATTGTATTAGTACATGCGTACAGGTTTCCCAAGTACAGATTTACTCAGACATTACTGTCTTCTGTTGTCCCTGTAAACTTTAAAAAGCCAACAAAAATATAGTATTTCAGGGTGGAAATTGGTTGTCTTTATTTGTACCAGAAGTATTTGTATTGGGACAAACGTGGTGTGTGTAAGGGACTCTTTGCTGTGCCTGCTTTCTCTTGCTAATGCTAATAATGTGTCTGGGAAAGCGCAATCAGCATTTACTGGGGATTTGTTGGAAAAGCCCATTCCTGGACCCTTTTGGATCCTGCAGAATCACATTGCATAAACAGGGCCGAGATTACCAACTGATTTATAAACTTGAGGGGTTCAAGATACATTCAGGAGAGTTTAGTTCAACCTTTGCATCAAAGAAAGGCTGCACCGCAAAGAAAACTGCACTGCAGTTTGGTAGGAAGAGGTCAGTGCGGTTCATGCTCCTGTTACTGTAAAGAAAATTGCTGGTGTCTGATAGGGGAGGGCAGGGAAAAAGAAACTTATATTTTAATAGTTATGGAGAAGCTCGTTGTTCTCTCATTGCTGTTAAATCTTTTCAGTTATAAACAACAAAAGTGGGTGAAAGTTTTCTGCAAGCCTCTGTCTTTCTGCCCGTGGGTGTGTGTGGTGGTAGCAGGTGAGTAGGTTGTGCTTTAAAGGCATATTCTCAAGATGCAGGTTTGATATGTCCAGAGCATCGTATCTGAAAATACATTTCAGAGAAAGAAGAGGAAGAGAAAAAAAATCAGTTTTTCTCGGGTGAGCATGTCTCAGATCAAGCGTCGTGTCCACTCTGCCTTTTGGAATGCCTTGTGTTCAGAACTTGCAAATTTTTACTTCTCTACTTGTGCTGTTGATCCCTATTGAGTTTGTTTCAACTATATTTTGTTATTTTTATGATAGTCAAGGGGTTCTGAAAAAAATATTTTTTTTCTGTTTACCATAGCGTTCTATACATTCTCTTCATCTTGGGTTCTTGTATGCCATGCAGAATTCTCACCGCAAATATATGACCTGCAATACTTAAAATGTTCCCATTGTAGCTGTTGAACATGAGAAGGTGTAAATACTCAATATTTCTATTGGGGAAACACAGTTATCTTTGGATATTAGTGAAAAATGAAACATGTCATGTTGAGGTTTAGAAAATGCTCATTTAAACAGGATAGCATTTATTACCCAGAAAGTTCTGAAAAAACTATTAGGAGATACTTGCTCTCCAGGGTGCTAAGGAAAGACTACTTGAAATTACTATTAAAAATTACAGAACAGGGAAGTTATCTGCACCTTCAACTTTGCATAAAACTGATGTTTCTTTATAATTAAATTTAAGCCAGGCGCAGTGGCTCAGGCTTGCAATCCCAGCACTTTGGGAGGCCGAGGCAGGCACATCACGTGAGGTCAGGAGTTCGAGGCCAGCCTGGCCAACATGGTGAAACCCTGTCTCTACTAAAAAAAAAAATACAAAAATTAGCCAGGCGTGGTGGCATGCACCTGTATTTTCAGCTACTCGGGAGGTTGAGGCAGGAGAATTTCTTGAATTCAGGAGGCAGAGGTTGCAGTGAGCTGAGATTGCACCCCTGCACTCTAGCCTGTGCAACAGAGTGAGACTCTGTCTCAATAAATACATAAATAAATAAACAAAATTTATATATAATTGAATTTAGATTACAATTTACTTTTCTGAGAGGAGAGAAATACCACAGCAGTGATGTTGTGTCCTGTGTGCATCAGCACGTAATAAAAATGTGTCCCGGTACAGTTGATAACAGTTTTATTCACTTGGTTCAAGATCTCTATGATATTTTTTCCACTATAGAGTTAGTTATTATTCTCTTAATTATTAAGTACACTTAGGAGATTTACTAGCTGAAGTGCATAAACCATCACATTTAATCTGGAAGCTGTCCTTTCTTTTTAGATGTCTTTTTATATATTTGTCTTTTAAAAATGAAGGCTCTTATCTTTATTTACAGGTGAGAGAAACTGGGAAAAACCGAGACTCTGCCACTTAGTGGATGTTTGACAAACTATTCTTACTAGGCTAGAAACATTGGTGAGCTTGCTAAAAATTCAGAAATTCAGACTTTATCTCAAATAGTCTGAAACAAAATCTCACAACACGATCTTTAGTTATTGCACATATTAAGAATTGAGAGGTACCTTCCAACTCATCATGACTGCTCTGAGAAATATACACAACTTATTCTGCATTATGTAAATATAACACTCAAAAATAAACATGTTCGAGGGGGTGAGGTGGCTCACGCATGCCATCCCAGCACTTTGGGAGGCCAAAGTGGGTGGATCACCTGAGGTCAGGAGTTCAAGGCCTGCCTGGCCAACATGGAGAAATCCTATCTCTATTAAAAATACAAAAATTAGACAGGCATGGTGGCTTACGCATGTAGACTCTGCTACATGGGAGGCTGAGGCGGGAGAATTGCTGGAACTCGGGAGGCGGAGGTTGCAGTGAGCCAACATCACACCACTGCACTCCAGCTTGGGCAACAGAGGGAGACTCGGTTTGAAATAAAAGAAAAAACAAAAAAAAAGAAGAAGAAAAGAAAAAAAAAGAGAGACATGTCCATATTGATGCCCTTAGTTTTATAATTTATTGTCCGGAAAAGTATCAAATCCACCATGGTATTGTGGATCTTATGCTATCCTCTTTTCTCAGTTAGATAATACTTCAGTGTTAAAAATTATCTTATTGAATAATTTTAGTCACTAAGTGAGAACCACTTCTTTTTACTCTCTTTTTAAACTTGAATCAAATAAAAATCTCTGCCTATGGCCACCGGGTGTTTGTGTGTTCATGTTTTTTGTTTTGTTTTGTTTTTTTGTTTGTTTTTTTTGTTGTTGTTTCAGGGACTGTTGACATTCAGAGATGTGGCTATAGAGTTCTCTCTGGCGGAATGGCAATGCCTGGATCGTGCTCAGCAGAATTTGTATAGAGATGTGATGTTAGAGAACTACAAAAACCTGGTCTCCCTGGGTGAGGATAACTTCAATACACCATTCCTAATATATTGCCTTTCTCTCTTTTCTAAGATGATTTTGGTAATTTCTGCTTTGCATGAATGAATTTTAGCTCTCCGATTTTAAGAAAATCTTGTGGATTCATTGGTGTAGAACAAATTCTTCAGGATGTTTTATCTTGACCTAAACTTTTCCCTTCCCTGAGCTTATGTATCTTTTGCTCTAGGTTAGTGGCAATTCCAAAAGTCTCATGGCATAAAATAGCATTGCCCATGCCTTAGAATTCAGTTGCCACCATCAATTTTTGATTCAGTATTACTGAGTAGTGAAATTAAGGACCTATAAATTTAAAATAATTTCTAAATATTTAGAAAATTCTGTTATGAATCAATGTTAATTTTCTAGAACTTTCTATTATATCCTCTTTACTAAGCATAAGACTAATTTGGTAATTAAAGAATTCAGCCAGATTTATGTTACTTTTTTTCTGAATAAAACAGGTATTGCTGTCTCTAAGCCAGACTTGATCACCCATCTAGAGCAAAATAAAGAGCCCCGGAATATAAAGAAAAATGAGATGTTAGCCAAACACCCAGGTAGGTGATAGCAAATTAAGTAGATGAGACAGATGAGAGGTACACAAGTTAAGAAGGCATCCATTCCTTAAAATGTAGTCTGGGGAGCTGTGCTTCGATGGAAAGAGTTTCTGGGAAGCCTGAGTCATTTTTTTCTATTGCTCTCACACAGGGACACCTGTTGCAGGATTTAGGAGGATGAAAGACACCTCGGGTTTAAAACAGGAGAATCTTTTATTGAGTGCAGACCGAGCAGACTCACATCCAAAGACTGGGCCCGGAACAAAGACAGCACTTGACTTTTATACACACTTCACAAGGAGGGTGGGCTAGCTTGAAGCAAGCTTACAGTGGTGTGAAAGCAGGGATACAGAGGCAGGACAAAGACAGTTAATCAAATTGTAACAGCTTCATAACTCAGGATTGCGCATAACTGTTGCCAGGCAACCCAGATGTCCGTTGTCTAGGTTTGCCTAGGCACAGGCTTATCCCATAACCTTCACTATGGTGCCTAGACAGCTGTGGTTCAGGCCTGCTCCGGCTTCTCATGACCTTCACTGTACTTCTTAGGTAAAACAGAATACTTGAAGTTACTAGTTACAGAGACTAAGAATCTATAAACAGGCCGGGCGCGGTGGCTCAAGCCTGTAATCCCAGCACTTTGGGAGGCCGAGACGGGCGGATCACGAGGTCGGGAGATCAAGACCATCCTGGCTAACACGGTGAAACCCCGACTCTACTAAAAAATACAAAAAAAAAACTAGCCGGGCGAGGTGGCGGGCGCCTGTAGTCCCAGCTACTCGGGAGGCTGAGGCAGGAGAATGGCGTAAACTCGGGCGGCAGAGCTTGCAGTGAGCTGAGATCCGGCCACTGCCCTCCAGCTTGGGCGACAGAGCGAGACTCCGTCTCAAAAAAAAAAAAAAAAAAAAGAATCTATAAACTTATACTATAAAACAAAGGAAAATTTGATTTTCTTCTCCCAGTGTTGATGGAGTACTGGGCGAGTCTCCAGAGCACATTAGATAATATTTATCAAGACTTTTCCTGGGTCTGGGCTGTGCCTATTGCTGCCTCTGGGACAAGTCAGCCTAATATAGGAAAGCTTATTTCTCTTTCTTTTTTATTTTATTTTTCTTTAATTTCCCGCCTCACACCTTCTGCCCCATGCTGTTAAATTCTCTAAGGATTCTACTTTCGCTTCAGTAATCTTTCTTCAAGTTTACAGTATGAGCCAAAGTTTTCTTTATGGCTTATCAGGGACTGCACAAACTGCTTTGCCATTACTTTTGGGGACACACTAATATCTGCATATTTTTGAGAAACTCTATGTTAAACCACTTTTAAAATTCTTTTTTTGCATCATGTCTAAAATGTGTGAGAACAGTAGTTTCTGTTTTATTGGTGGTTGTCCATTTTTCTGCACATGCCATTCTGTTTTTATTACCATAGCCTTGAGATATAACTTAAAGTTTTTTTTACAATTTTTAAATTTTTATATCTGTATGTATTTATTTATTTAGAGGCTGGGTTATGATACTTGCTATGTGGGCATATGCAAGCGGGGTACCTCTTATGTCTTCATTTTACTGTGCTGCATATTTTAGATATAGATTTATACATGGTATTGCTGGATTATGTGATAATTTCATTTTTATTTATTTGAAGAACATGATTTTTTTATGATGGGTGCACCTTTTTTTCTCATCAACAACTTACATAGGTTTCAATTTCTTTACATCATGAACATAGTTGGTGTTTTAAAAAATTTATAGTGGTCATCCTAATTGATATAAGGTAGTTTTGTTTTGTATTGTGATTTCGTTTTGCATTTTTCTATAAATTATCAATTTTGTGCAACTTTTCAAATGCTTCTTTTCATTTGTATATCCTTTTTATTAAAGTTTCGCTTAATCATTTGTCCATTTCTTTTTTTTTTTTTTTTTTTTTGAGATTGAGTTTCACTGTTGTTGCCCAGGCTGGAGTGCAATGGCATGATTTTTGGCTCATGGCAACCTCTGCCTCCTGGATTAAAATGATTCTCCTGCCTTGGCCTCCTGAGTAGCTGGGATCAGGGATGTGCCACCATGTACAGCTAATTTTGTATTTTTAGTAAAGATGGGTTTCACATGTTGGTCAGGCTAGTCTCAAATTCCTGACCTCAGGTGCTCTGCCCACTTCAGCCTCCCAAAGTTCTGGGATTACATGCATGAGCCACGTCACCCATTTCTAAATCAAGTAATTAGTTTTTCTTGTCTAGCTCTAGGAGTTGTTTATATATTCTCAATATTAAGTCTTATCACATGTGATTTTCAAATATTGTCACCCATTTCTTGGGTGATACTGTCACTCTACTAAACGTTTTATTTGATTGCAGAAATTTTGAAGTTTAGCCCAGTTAAATTTTTCTGTTCTTCTCTTTGTTGCTCAAGCATTTAATGGCATATCTAAGAAAATGGTGCCAAGACCAATGTCATGTCTTTCCATTGTATTTTTTTTTTAGTTAAAGTATTTTGTTTAAAATATTTTTTGTATATGATGCAATTAAAGCATCCAACTTCATTGTTTCAATGTAGATATCCAGTTTTCAACATTATCTGTTGAAGGGATTATATTTTCTCCATTGTCTGCTCATGACAACCTTAAGGCAGATTATTTGGTCATACACAGAAGAGTGCAATTGCTGGGCTCCCTGTTTTGTTCTATCATGTCTTTATCTGTCTTTGTGTGAGTACCACATAGTTATTGTTATTGCAGCTTTTTATTATGATTTGAAATTATGAAGTATAATGCCTCGGTGTTTTTCATGTGTGTTTCTCTAGATATAGTTCATAATAAAATTTAAAAATTTTAAACAATATTCCAGGAATAAATATATTTTTGGAATTTTGATACAGATTATATTAAATTAGTTCACCACTTCGGGTCATATTGACATCTTAACAAATTAAGTTGTCACTTAAATATGTTGACCCTTGAGCAAAAATATTAAATTAAATTATTTGACCCTGTGCAAGAATACAGTGAAGAGTGTGTTTATTTCCATACATTTTTGATTTGCCAGTATTACTTTTTTCTTTTTAGTTTTTTTCAGTTTTGGCTAGAAAACATACACTGTATGATTTTGCTCTTCTTAAAGTTTTTTTGACACAGGGTTTCTCACTCTGTTGCCCAGACTGTGGTGCAGTAGCACAATCTTGGCTCATCGTAGCCTGAACCACATGGACTCAAGTAATCCTTTTACCTTGGCCTCCTGAGTGGCTGGCACTACAGACATACTCCACCATGCCCAGCTAATTTTTAATTATTTGTAGAAACAGGGTCTCACTGTGTTCCCAGGGCTGGTATCAAACTTCTTGCCCCAAGTGATCCTTCCACCTTGGCCTTCCAACGTGCTGGGATTACACCTGGAGCCACTGCCCCCGGCTGATCTTTTGAAATTTACTAGGTCTTATGTGTTCTGACAGAGTACACCAGGTGCAAATAAGAATATTGTGTATCCAATTGCTTTTCATTGGAGAGTTCTGTGTACATGTCTGTTTAAAGCCTATTTGGTTTGTGATATGGTGTAGATGCCCTCCAAATCTCATGTAGAAATATAATCTCCATTGTTGGATGTGGGGCCTAATGAGAGCTGTTTGCATCATGGAGACAAATCCCTCATGAATGACTTGGTACAATCCCCTTGGTAGTCATAGAGTTCTCACTCTATTAATCCACATGAGAGCTGGTTGTTTAAAGGAACCTGGCTCCTCCACCTCACACGTGCATCATCTTTCACCATGTGACATGTTTGGTTCTTTTTTGCCTTCCACTATAATTTTAAGCTTCCTCATATCCTCACCAGAAGCAGATGCTGGTATATACTTCTTGTACAGTCTACTGAATTGTGAACCAAAGAAATCTTTTTCTGTATCAGTTATCCAGTCTGAGGTTATTTTCTATAGCAATGCAAAATGAATTCATACACAATATAATGTTCTTCAGGTTTTCTGTTTTTTTAATTGATTATTTTAATTTTTTCTTTATTGAAATTGAGGTATTAATGTTTATAATTTTTGTTGCTATTTTATTTCTTGCTTCATTTCTGTCAATATTTGCTTTACATATTTTGAAGCCCTGATGTTATATATGCACATATATATAGATAGACATAATAGTTATAGATTCCTAGCAAATTGACTCATTTTACCATTATATAATATCAATCTGTCTCATGCTAGTAATTGACTCATTTTCTTTTGTGTGTCTATAAATATTTTTTCTTTGTGCTACATTGGAGATTTTATAAAACCTCTTAATGTTATAACAGTGTATTTTAATCTGGTAAAAAAAAATGACTTCAGTTGCATAGAACAATTTGTCCTCATTATATCTACCCTATACTTACTGATGTTGCAAATTATATCTTTGTATATTTTATGATTATTTTTATGCTTATATATTTCAAATTTTAAATACTAACAGTGTTTTCTGCACGATCACAATAATGACACAGAATTTTACTTTTTTGTATATGCATATGTTTTTCAGAAAGTTACGTATTTTCATATGATTATATATTTTTTTCATCATATTATTTTAAGTGGAAAGACCTCTTTTCAGCATTTTATTTAGGGCACATGTAGTGTTTATATGCTTCTCCAGCATTTGTTTATTCTGGAATATCTTCATTGTTTATTTTGTAGTACATTTACATTTTTGCTGGTTATATTCTCACCATGAAGATTTTTTTCAGCACTTTGACCATTTTACACAGTTCTTTTCTGACCCACAAGGTTTCTGTTGACAAATTCATTGGTTGTCTCGGAGGACTATGCTTATAAATAATACCTCACTTTTATCTTGCAGCTCCCAAGATTATCTTATGGTTTGTGACTTTTCAAACTTTGCTTAAATATGTGTTATGGATCTTTTTGTGTATATCCTAGTTTGTTTGTTTAGCTTCTTCATTTTTTTATATTACTTTTTTTCCTACTTTTAAATTTTTTCAATTATTCTTTTTTTTTTTTTTTTTTTTTTTTTTTGAGACGGAGCCTTGCTCTGTCACCCAGGCTGGAGTGCAGTGGCCGGATCTCAGCTCACTGCAAGCTCCGCCTCCCGGGTTTACGCCGTTCTCCTGCCTCAGCCTCCCGAGTAGCTGGAACTACAGGCGCCCGCCACCTCGCCCGGCTAGTTTTTTTGTATTTTTTAGTAGAGACGGGGTTTCACCGTGTTAGCCGGGATCGTCTCTCGATCTCCTGGCCTCGTGATCCGCCCGTCTCGGCCTCCCAAAGTGCTGGGATTACAGGCTTGAGCCACCGCGCCCGGCCCAGTTATTCTTTTTTACCTCCACAATTGTTTATTTTTATTATTCCAAGCTTTTTGTTGATATTCTTATTTTTCTGATTTTATTTTGGTGTCTGGTTTTCCATTTTTCTCATTGAGCATAATATGGATTATCTTAAATTTTAAAAATTAATACATATATCTTTATTTTTATAGTTGCTTTTTCACAATTTTTGAATTTTTTGATTAGACCATGTTGCCCAAATATTTTGTATACATTGTAATCTTTGGTTGAGATTTAGACACTAACATAAAACTACCTTTCACAGTATTTATAATACGGCTCTTTCCTGGCATAGCCTGAAACCAATTGTCTTGGGCAAAGATTCTGGGAGTCTCACGACCATGTTCTTAGGATGTGTCTTGTCTGCAATTTTGTACTTATTTTTCAGTTGAAAGACTTCTTCATATTTCCTCTTACTGGTCAGTAACTACTTTCTACACCTATTGTCTGTCCATGGTACTGCAGTCTTTCTGCTGTTGTAACATTCACTTTTTATCTCAAAAGAATTAAATCTGTCATTAAAGACACCATGTTCTTCTGTTGGGGATGAGGAAGGGCTGTGTTGAGTAAATGTAGCAGACTTTTCTATCTGTAAAGCTCTTTACATTGTGCTCACATGGTGCACACACTTTCTAAATTTCTAACAAAGGTATTTTGATTACTATGATTCTGTTACATTTATACATCTATGAAGGAATTATGGCCTGTGATGTTTTGATATGCCATTTTGCTAATGTACCATATATAATTTTATATATTCGATTTGTAAAGTATATTTATCTGAGTCCAGTAAGTAGAGTAATTTGTGATTTTTATGTCTTTCAGTTATGTGTTCTCATTGCACCCAAGACCTTCAGCCACAGCAGGGCATAAAAGATTCACTCCAAAAAGTAATACCAAGAACATATGAAAAATGTGGAAATGAGAATTTACAATTTAAAAAATGCTGTAAAAGTGTGGGTGAGTGTGAGGTGCACAAAGGAGGTTATAATGATGTTAACCAATGTTTGTCAACTACCCAAAACAAAACATTTCAGACTCATAAATATGTCAGAGTCTTTGGTAAATTTTCAAATTCCAGTAAGCATAAGACAAGACATACTGGAAAGAATCATTTCAAATGTAAAAAATATGGCAAATCATTTTGCATGCTTTCACACCTAAATCAACATCAGGTAATTCATACTAGGGAGAAGTCTTACAAATGTGAAGAATGTGGCAAATCCTTTAACTGCTCCTCATACTGTACTAAACATAAAAGAATTCATATTGGAGAGAAACCCTACAGATGTGAGGAACGTGGCAAAGCCTTTCGCTGGTCCTCAAGCCTTAGTAGACATAAGAGAATTCATACTGGAGAGAAACCCTTCACATGTGAAGGATGTGGCCAAGCCTTTAGCCGGTCCTCAGCCCTTAAGAAACATAACCAAATTCATACTGGAGGGAAACCCTACACATGTGAAGAATGTGGCAAAGCCTTTAGGCGCTCCTCAGCACTTACTAACCACAAGAGAATTCATACTGGAGAGAGACCCTACAAATGTGAAGAATGTGGCAAAGCCTTTACCTTTTCCTCAGCCCTCACTGACCACAAGAGAATTCATACTAGAGAGAGACCCTACATATGTGAAGAATGCGGCAAAGCCTTTAACTGCTCCTCCAGCCTTGTGCAACATAAGAGAATTCATACCGGAGAGAAACCCTACACATGTGAAGAATGTGGCAAAGCCTTTAGGTGCTCCTCAGCCCTTACTAACCACAAGAGAATTCATACTGGAGAGAGACCCTACAAATGTGAAGAATGTGGCAAAGCCTTTAGCTTTTCCTCAGCCCTCACTGACCACAAGAGAATTCATACTGGAGAGAGACCCTACGCATGTGAAGAATGTGGCAAAGCCTTTAACTGCTCCTCAACCCTTAAGAAGCATAAGAGAATTCACACTGGAGAGAAACCCTACAAATGTGAAGAATGTGGCAGAGCTTTTACATGGCATTCAAGTTTTGCTATACATAGGATACGTCATACTGGAGAGAAACCCCACAAATGTGAATAATGTGGCAAAGTCCACCCTCAGGCCTTATAATACATAAAATAATTTATACTGAAAAAAAAAACACTACAAGTGTAGAGAATGTGGTCAGGCCTTTAACCAGTTCCAAACCTTAATTGAACATATGAGAATTCATATTGGATGAAAATCTTATAAATGTAAGTAACAAACCCTTTGACTAATGCTTAAACTTAATAAACCTAAGAGAATTTATTGAAAAAAGAATTTTTTTGAGATGGAGTCTCACTTTGTCACCCAGGCTGGAGTGCAGTGGCATGATCTCACCTCACTGCAAACTCTTCCTTCCAGGTTCAAGTGATTCTCCTGCCTCAGCCTCCTGAGTAGCTGGGATTACAGGCGCCCACCACCACACTGGCTGATTTTTTATTTTTAGTAGAGACGGGGTTTTGCCATGTTGGCCAACCTGGTCTCAAACTCCTGACCTCAGGTGATCCATCTGCCTCAGCCTCCCAAAGCCTAAGAGAATTTATATTAGACCCTAGAAAGGTAAAAAATGTGACAAAACCTTTAAGCACACTCAGGCTTTACACAATATCTTATAATTCATTCTAGAGAGAAACCCTACAAAAGCAAAGAATGTGGTAAAGCTTTTAACTAGTCTTGAACCCTTATTATACATAAGATAATACTGAAGAGAAACTCTACAATAAGGAACATGGCAATGTCATTAAAAAGTCCTCAAACCTGAACAAATGTAAGGTAATTGATACTGGAGAGAACCACTGCAATTGTAGAAAATAATGTGGCAAAGCCTTTAACTGGTTCTCCATCCTAATTAATTTAAAAATTTTATACTGGAGAGAAACTCCAAATACATAAAAAATGTGACAGAGCATTTAACTACACCTCAAACTTTTCTAAAAAAGAGAAATCATGCTGGTGAGAAACTCCAGAAATGTGTTCAATGTGGCAAGGCCTTTAAATGGTAGTCATATGTTATGGTAAGTAAGATAATTTATACTGAAGACAACTCCTACAAATATGAAGAATGTGGCAAAACTTTTAACAAATTTTCATATGACACAGGAAAGCATTTCTACTAGAGAAAAATTGTACAAAGAATGTGAAAAGTCATTAATATCAGCTCACATCTTAGTATCAAAGTTTATACTTAATAAAAGCATTATAGGTCAGGTGTGTTGGCTCATGCTTGTAATTCCAGCACTTTGGGAGGCCAAGATTGGTGGATCATGAGGTCAGGAGTTCAAGACCAGCCTGACCAATATGGTAAAGCCCCATTTTTACTAAAAATACAAAAATTAGCCAGGCATGGTGGCATGCACCTGTAATCCCAGCTACTCGAGAGGCTGAGGCAGGAGAACTGCTTGAACCTGGGAGGCGGAGGTTGCAGTGAACCTAAATAGAGCTGCTACACTGTAGCCTGGGTGACAGAGCAAGACTCCATCTCAAAAAAACAAAGCATTATAAATGTGATTACTGTAAAAAGACTTCAGAAAATGTAGGCCTTCAAAGTAAAAACTATTCTGAAGACATACAAACATAAAGAGGATTGTTGTACCTTTACTTGCATTATAGATTTTATTGTACACGTTTTATATTAAAGGAAAAATCTGAAGCAGTTAAACTGGTGAAGCAGACACCAGTTTATACTAAATTCTTTTTGCAGGTCTAGTAAATGGGGAAAATATGTTTAATCAAAAATTGTTTACATAAACATTTGAGGATTCACAGTAAAAAGAATAAAGGCACTGAAACTTCAGACATTATACTAAATCAGAGTGTTGAGTGTAAAAGAGATCCAAATATATTTTTTTAAAAGTAGATTTTTTTTGGAGATTTATAATTATCTTTGAGGTTATGCTTCTTTTTCTGTAAAACAAAATTAGATTTTCTGAAAAACAAATAATAATGTAACTCAAGTCTCAGATTATTTCGTGTTGATTCTGCCCATTGTTTAAGTATTTCATCAATTGTTGCATCAGAGATATGAGAGATTGTTTTTTTCAATGTACATTTATGTAATAAAATGCAATAAATTTAAAAAATGTTTGAAGATTATGTGTGATCTTAATTTTTAATTAAACAAAGTTGTTTTTAATGTGTTAAAACTATTGTGGTTTGAATGAAGTGGAAATTTACCATCAACATTAATGTGTCCCATTTTACTTAAGGTTCTAAGTGAACAATGGTGACAGTATACTATTTGGTAATGTAGGGGAATGACATCTCTAGTAATCTCTCTTTTGCCAGTGTTTTTTGTTTTTTTGGTTTGAGACAGAATCTTGCTCTGTTGCCTAGGCTGGAGTGCAGTGGCATGATCTTCACTCAGTGCAACCTCCACCTCCTGAGTCCAAGCGATTCTCCTGCCTCAGCCTGCCAAGTAGCTGGGACAACAGGCATGCGCCACCATACCTGGCTAATTTTTATATTTTTAGTAGAGACAGGGTTTCACCATGTTGGCCAAGCTGGTCTTGAACTCCTGACCTCAGGTGATCCACCCGCCTCGGTGCCCTAAAGTGCTGGGATTATAGGCATGAGCCACCACACCTGGCCCTCCAGTGGTTTTAAACTGTAAATAAGTTGAATAATTTTGTTCTCATAGGTCAAGTTTGTATTCTTATTTACCTTATTTTGATTTTTAAAAATGTTTGTGGGTAGATTGTGTGGCATACACACTTATGGCATATATGAGGTATTTAAACATGGGCATACATTATTTAATTATCACAGCAGAGTAAATGAGGTATTCGTCACCTTGAGCATGTATTTATCCTTTGTATTACAAACAATCCCATTATATAGCTTTAGGTATTTCAATATGTGCAATTGAATTATTAACCACAGGGTCATTTTATGATCATAAAAGTTACATGAGTATAATTAATATCCATACATTTCTGAGTCTCGATTAAATAGTTTTAAAAGTTTGTTTTATATATTTTTTGTACATGTGGCCTCTCTGCTGACAAAGAAAAAAAAAACACTTTTAGTTTTGATTTACATAGAGTTACATATGCAAATATATTACTCTAAAGATATATCAGCCAGGCACAGTGGCTCAGACCTGTAATCTCGAAACCCCATCTCTACTAAAAATACAAAAAATTAGCTGGGTATGGTGGTGCGTGCCTGTATTCCCAGCTACTAGGGAGGCTGAGGCAGGAAAATCACTTGATCCTGGGATACAGAGGTTGCAGTGAGCCAAGATGCCACCCTGCACTCCAGCCTGGATGACAGAGCAAGACACTGTTTAAAAATTGTTTTAAAAAGGTATACCTTACACATAAGAAAGTTATGTAGCAAGTGGGTGTGTTTGCGTGTGAGTTTGTATGCATTTCAGAATTGAACAATGTTGAAACAAAAAAGATTATTTTAATAAGGTGGATAATTAACGAGAAACAGGAAACCTCAGGGATTCTCAAAAAAAAAAGTTTATATTCTCTGCCTTGTATTGAATTCGTCAGTGTAAAATCTTATCCCACCCAAATCTTATCTCAAATTGTAATCCCCACGTGTCAAGGGAGGGACTTGATGGGAGGTGATTGGAACATGGGGGTAGTTTTCCTCCATGCTATTTTTGATAGTAATTGAGTTCTCAAAAGATCTGATGGTTTTATAAGTGGTGGTTTTTTTCTGCTCACCCTCTCTCCTGCTGCCTAGTCAAGAAGGTACTTGCTTATCCTTCACCTTCTACCATAATTGTAGGTTTCCTAGTCCTCTCAAACCATGCAGAATTGTAAGTTAAACCTCCTTTCTGTATAAATTATCCATTCTCTGGTAGTATCTGCATAGTAGTGTGAAAACAGACTAATACAGAAAATTAATACTGGGAGTTTGGGGCACTGCTACAAAGATAATTGAAAATGTGGAAGTGACTTTGGATCTGGGTAATAGGCGGAGGTTGAAACAGTTTAGAGGGCTCAGAAAAAGATAGAAAAATGTGGGAAAGTTTGGAACTTCCTAGAGACTTGTTGAATGCTTTTGACCAAAATACTAACAGTGATATGGATGATAAAGTCCAGGCTGAGGTTGTCTCAGATGGAGATGAGAAACTTATGTTTAAAATGGAAGCAGAACATAAAAGTTTGGAAAATTTGCAACCTGACCATGAAGTAGAACATAAAACCCCATTTTTTGGAAAGAAATTCAAGCCGCTGCAGAAAATTGCAAAAGTAAAGAGAAGCTGAATGTTAATAACCAAGACCATGGGGAAAATGTCTTCAGGTCATGTCAAAGATCTGAGACAGGTCCTTCCATCACAGGCCAGGAGCCATAGGAGGAAACAATGGTTCCATGGTTGAGGCCCAGGGCCCCACTCCTCTATGAAGCCTTGGGACTTGGTGCCCTGCATCCTAGCTGCTCCAGATCCAGCTGTGGCTAAAAAGAGCCAAGGTACAGCTTGGGTTATTTCTTCAGAAAGGGCAATCCTCAAGCCTTGGTGGCTTCCATGTGGTGGTGTGCATGCGAGTGCATATAAGACAAAAGTTGAGCTCTAAGAGGAACCTCTGCCTAGATTTCAGAGGATGTATAAAAATGCCTGAATGTTCAGTCAGAAGTCTTCTACAGGGGCAGAGCCCTCATGGAGAACCTGTGATAGGGCAATGCAGAAGGGAAATGTGGGGTTGGAGCCCTCACACACAGAGTCCCCACTGAAGCTGCCTGCGGGAGCTGTGAGAAGGCCACTATAATCCAGACCCCAGAAAGACAGATCCACCATGAGCTTGCACTGTGCGTGTGGAAAAGCCACAGGCACTCAATTCCAGTCCATGAAGGAACTTCGCAAAATCATGAGGGCCCACCCCTTGCATCAGCGTGGCCCACATGTGAGACATGGAGTCAAATGAGATCATCTCAGAGCTTTAAGATTTAATGACTGCCCCATTGGAATTCAAACTTGCATGGGGCCTGTAGCTCCTTGGTTTTGGCCAATTTATCCCATTTGAAATGGGAGAATTTATCTAATGCCTGTTCCCCCATCTTGGAAGTTACTAACTCGCTTTTGATTTACAGGCTCATAGGTAGCAGGGACTTGCCTTGTCTCAGATGAGACTTTGGACTTAGACTTTTGGGTTAATGCTACAATGAACTAAGACTTTGGGGGATGGTTGGGAAAGCATGTTTGGTTTTGAAATATAAAAAGGACATGCGATTTGCCAGGGGCAGGATGATACTCATGGTGTTCTCATGATAGTGAGTGAGTTCTCATGAGATCAGATGGTTTTGTAAGTGGTAATTTTTCCTGCTCTCCTTCACCTAACAAAGAAGATACCTGCTTCTCCTTCAC